GATAGATAGATAGATAGATAGATAGATAGATAGATGGATGGATAGACTCTCTTCCAGAGTGTCTCTGGTCCTAAAGCTTTAAAGTCTCTTACTTCCTGTTAGCATGTAGCATCAGTGGATGCTAGCTGTGGAATCTGTGTTCTAGCTGGATGCTAAAGCCTTGATGCTAAAGCCTCTGCTAGCATGTAGCATCAGGCTAAGCTCAGAGGATGTTAGAGCCTGTTTCTGGGTAACCTGACTGTTTCCCTCTCCTTTCCCTGCAGCGAGCTGGAGGAGGAGCTGATCTTCCAGGAGTTTAAGCGCTCCTACCTGAGGGGCATCATCGGCGACGATGACGACGAGGAAGGAAACGTGTCCGGGGGCGACGACATGGCGCCCAAAGAGAAGTAGGCCGCCAGTCTCCCAGAAGATTCTTCTAGAGCCAGACGCCCAGCAGCAGGATGGTCGATGTTCGATGTTTGTTGTTTGTTGTTTGTTGTTGAAAAGATCCCCGTTAGCTGTCGCCAGAACGGGCTCCACCAGACAAAAATGTCTTTATTAAACACTGTAGACATTAGAGATGTCGTCTGAAGAAGTTATTACATTCATGTCTGTTTATTCTCATTTTCATACAGTTCATTTATTACTCACATATTTAAATAGTGTATTTTCAAGTTATAATTAAAAAGATACTTTACTATCCAGTTCACTGCTGTTGAGTGGGTGATTATTCCAATAACGGATATCAGGATAAATATCTGTTCTCTTTAAGGCATTTTGGACATGGTGACATCATCTGACCACCGTTAGCCGACCGATCACATCTGACTACAGTAGAACCTCTACATACGAATTTAATTCGTATGTTAAAACATTCATATGTTATCAGATATCAGAGGGTTGAATATTTCTTCTCAGAGAAATTAAATAAAAACTGAGATGTTTACTTCAGAGTTGTTCATTTCTGATAATTTTTGGCCCAGTTATTGCCCAAAATTTGCTGTTTTGAGTTTCTCATGTGAAACTTGTACCGCATGTTTTACAGGAGCTTCTCACGTTTAAATTCTCACTTTTTTCAGGGATGTAACACAACTGAAGTTTATTT